GACTGGTTTTGTGCTCCAGGGTCACATATAGTAAGTACATGTAGTTAATTAATATTACTCAGTACTTAAATGAATAGTTACACTGTAACAAGGACACCCTACACAAACCTGACCGGTAAACAAGACTTAATGCAGAGTTGAACTTGTCAAGAACACTCCTTGTGCTTTGCTTCCCCTGCAGTCCTCGAGTCCAGCATGAACTGGGTGTCGTTTTACGCGGTGATCAGCGGTGTGAACAGGCACTCGACAGGCATCGGCCGCATCTGGCTGTCGGTCATCTTCATCTTCCGGATCATGGTGCTGGTGGTGGCGGCCGAGAGCGTGTGGGGCGACGAGAAGTCGGGCTTCACCTGCAACACCCAGCAGCCCGGCTGCAACAGCGTGTGCTACGACCAGTTCTTCCCCATCTCCCACATCCGCCTCTGGGCTCTGCAGCTCATCCTGGTGTCCACGCCGGCCCTGCTGGTGGCCATGCACATCGCTCACCGCCGGCACATCGAGAAGAAGATCCTCAAGATCTCCGGCCGAGGGAGCGCCAAGGACTTCGAGAACATCAAGAGTCAGAAGTTCAAGATCACCGGTGCTCTGTGGTGGACTTACATGATCAGCATCGTCTTCCGCATCGTTTTCGAGCTGGTTTTCTTGTACATTTTTTACTTGATCTATCCGGACATCAAGATGGTGCGTCTTGTGAAGTGTGACTCGTACCCCTGTCCCAATACAGTGGACTGTTTCGTGTCGCGTCCCACAGAGAAGACCGTCTTCACTGTCTTCATGCTGGCCGTGTCTGGAGTCTGTGTCTTGCTGAACATTGCAGAGGTTGTGTATTTAATCGGTCGGGCGTGTATGAAATACTTTCAAGGAGCAGTGGGTGAACCCAAAGCGCCTTGGCTCGCTCAAAAACTGGCAACCTACAAGCATAACGAAATAAATCAGCTGATCTCAGAGCATTCGTTCAAGCCGAGATTCAACGCTGGGCGAAAGCCTCCCGCGGATAAGAGCGAGCGCTGCTCTGCTTTCTAGATGGAGGTTTCTACCAACTATCAGTCATTAATGGAAGGTGGATGTCTGTAATCATATTAATCGACTGTCATTATCGTTTAAAAGGCCCCTCTACATGTGAGGAGTGATCATGGGGGGAAATATGCTGGAGAACCGTCAAATACTACACATTTGAAAAGTGTCCATCTGGTCCTAAAAAGCAGATAAGATAAAAGAGGAATAATTGGGTTTCACACTAAGCAAACACTGGAGAGGGTAAACAGTTAGTCATTTGCTTCTGTGCTGAAGTTCATATTTGTGCATATAATATTTGACCGATAGAGTGTCTATACAGCACAAATTGACCTTTCGTCTCAACACAAAAATAAAAAGCGGCATGGCTTGCTGTGTGGAAAGTGGAGTAGATGGTACGTTTTAACCTTTTTAATGTATTATTATATGTTATTTATTGAAAACAGAAACCCTCATCCATTAGACAAGTTAGTTTAGAGAAATGGATGGATGAAACAGAAGCCCTAGAGTATGACATCATATCCTGTTGCCCATACTTGTTGATATAACTGATATTTTGAGGATTTTTTTTTTTTTTTGCAGTATAGTGTGTAGTATGATTGCCCCTGAACAATGTTGCATTGATAAAATACATTTTTTTATTTGTTTATGTTTGAACTACAAATTTGCAATGATTTTCTGGCTTTAAAGTTAATCAAAATGCCCCTTTACATGTAGTAAAGCATCTTATTCATTTTGCTTTGACTTGTAAATGATTTGTTAAAATGGTTTAATTTTTTTTTCATTTATAGTTTTATTATAGTGAGATGCATCACATCTAACGGAAGTTTAAAGGGCATTTTCTTCATCTTTGCAAGCACTTATTTGTTAAAAAGACCAAACAAACAGACTTGAGGCCACATCGTATTTATTCGACTGTAAATGCTTGTTTGTCCTCACAGTGTAAAGTTGTTCTAGCAATCACAGCTTTATCTAACGCACCTTTAAAGAGCCATACAATCACATACTGACCGGCTGTTCTGCTCGAGTATGATTGGGAAATAATATTTTCTTTGCAGGACTTTGTTGAATTGATGCAACTTTCTTGCTTGCAATATCAACTTTGTCATTAAACAAATTCATTATATTGCACATACCTTAATACAATTTTGAATCATTTTTATTTATTTAGTATGTCCATGCATTTCAATTATGATTTATCCCCCATTTCAGTTAAAGGGGTTTGTAGAGATTATGTATATATATATATATATATATATATATATATATAAAATGTTCAAAATCTTTTCTAAAGGCCTCACATACTGAAAAGAAATGTGTGATAGCAGTTGTTTTATATTGCACTGTCCACACATAAGGAAAGGGACATTATTGACATTACTCGTGCCAGTAACGCCCTTCAGTGTTTATGACTGCTATCAGTGACGGATCAAATGAGTGTAGACCTTTAAATCACATCTTTATAGCACTCAGGACTATGTCATTGCCAAACAATGAACAAGCAGGTCTTTAGCATTACATTTGAGCATGTCCTGAAGCACGTGACCGACAGGAGCATGAACAGGGAAACTTTGGACATGATCATTGAAGTCATTCCTCATGCAGAGAGAGTGCAAAGCATTGGCTTCTAGGCTCTTTTATTATTATTAATTCTAATTGTAAGACCTGTGTGAATGAGCCATATGGACCCAGTTTCACAGTTTTCATCCCACCACTGGAGATCCGCTCAATGATAAGTTGGGGACAACTGAATACCCAAGTAACCTGTTAAAGTACCAATGTTTAATAAAATAAAATGTTTAAAACTCCGGAATTATTAAGGGGATTAATGTTACTCTCTAAACCAATCAAAACATACTAATCCAATACCAAAACCTTAGACTTTTGACAAAAACCAACAAAACCTGCAGTAGACATCTAGCCTGTTCTGCTGGTTTTCTAACTCTTCCCACATACAGTATTCCTATAACAGACTTATTAGCAAATATGTGTTTATTTTTTAACTTTCTGATGAAGGCACAGAAGGTGAAGTGAGAAGTTTGATTAAAGAAATGAGGGATTATGGAATGGAATGTTTGCAACTGAACACAGGACAAACGTAATAAATCAATATGTACACTAATGATAAATACAGAAAAATAACTTGTTCTGCAATTGACCTAATTATTCTAATTAAGAGGCTGCTTTCACTACAGCCATTAAAGGTGTAGATGGGCTCCTCATAAACCAGTTAACCATTAACTTCATAATCTCCATAACTCTGGTTTTGTTGCACAGAAAGACACAGAACGATCTGTATTTATTGAGAACATTTATAATACAATAATTTGTAGATCAAGTTGTTAATTTAGAAAGACCAGTTTTAGTCACAGCTTTCTGCTCTCATTTTCAACATCTGCAAACACAGTACAGCAAGCTGATAATGCTTCATATAACAGACACACAGAGAAAGAATGATCTAGCGTTCCTGACTATCAGTAACTCAGTAGTCACCGTTTGTGACGGCACAAACATCAGATATTAAGGGGTCATGACGACATTCAACCCCTCGACCCGTGGTTTATGATTAAGAACTACTGTTCCTTTGCAACATCAGCGAGGAAAACAAGCATGTTAACAGAAGGTGACTTAGTTTCTCAGCAGAAACACTGGATGCGAGTGAAGTCAGCAAGACAGGAGGAAATCTTCTGGATCATCCACCACCCTGAGAACAAGAAAACCATCAAGAGCTCTGTAAAACAGCGGCAAACCTAGAGAAACACCTTGTGTAAACACTACAGTGCATCCGGAAGCTATTCCCAGCGCTTTACTTTTTCCACATTTTTCAAACAAACTTCGGTAGCACTTTATTTTACAGTCCTGTTCCTCATGTACATACTATGTACTTAATGATTAAAGTAATTACTATAACTAGGTACTAACCCTGAACCTACCCCATGTAGTTACCTTATAATACCAGTACTTTCTTTGGTAAGTACACTGTAAGTGAATGTAAGTACTGTAACAAAGTGCAACCCAAACTTCTTTCACGTTGTCATTATGGGGTATTGTTTGCAGAATTCTGAGGAAAATAATGAATTTAATCCATTTTGGAATAAGGCTGTAACATAACAGAACGTGGAAGCGCTGTGAATACTTTCCGGATGCACTGTCTGTTGCTATAAACACAAAGCCTTGGATTTATAAATGTCATTTCCAAACATTCTCATCACACACATACATGTATATATTTCAGAAAAATATGTTGTTTATATATGAAATATATTTATTTATAATATAAATTATATGAAAAGCTAGTGCTGTCAAACGATTAATCGCGATTAATCACATCCAAAATAATAGTTTTGTTTACATAATATACAGTGGTGTGAAAAAGTGTTGGCCCCCTTCCTGATTTCTTTGCATGTTTGTCACACTTTAATGTTTCAGATCATCAAACAAATTTAAATATTAGTCAAAGATAACACAAGTGAACACAACATGCAGTTTTTAAATTTACTGTGTATATTTATCATGTATATATAAATACACACACATATATGTATATATTTTGAAAGTATGTACATGTATATACACATTTATATTCTTATATTATATATATATTTAATATATAAACATAAAATTTTTCTTAAATATATACATGTATGTGTGTGTGTTTATATATATACATAAAAATACACACAGTACACACACATATTATGTAAAAAACGTATTTTGGATGCGATTAATCGTTTGACAGCACTAATATAGACATGTAAATATTTTCAAAATATATACATGCATGTGTTTGTGTTTATATATACACATAATAAATATACACAGAACACACACATATATTATGCAAACAAAAACGTTTATTTTGGATGCGATTAATCGCGATTAATCATTTGACAGCACTTTTTATACATTTTATAGGCACTGTAACAGCAAGAATGCAAAAATGCTTTAAGTTTTAAAATGCTTTTCCCCCCAGCATTTTGTTGGAAGTGAATGTGAAACTGATTTAGAGATGGACAGCTAAGCTAGATCACCGCTAGGTGAGGTCTGGTGTAGACTCACGCTGTATGCGGCGAGGCTAGCGCATGCGCATGTGCAGACTGTGCTTGGGCCCGTCCACACGCTCCAGCTTCTCGAAGTGTCTCCTGGCGTTCCTGATGTTGATGAGGGTGGCAGCGGACGCTGGAAGAGAGTGAGAGGCTTTAGCTTCAGTCACATGTGCTTTCCTTCAATGTTACTGGAGCGCAGATGGAGGAAACAGAATCTGGAGGTGTTTTGAAGTGTTTTAAAAGGATAGTTTCTAGTTAAACACAGGCTCTGAAAGCTGACACATTTGAATGCTTTAGCAAAAGAGGCAAGAGATCACGGCTGGATATTCCCAGCATAGTAGTAATGACTAGGGATGTAACGGTATGAAAATTTCATATCACGATTATAGTGACCAAAGTTATCACGGTTATCGATATTATCACGGTTTTGTTGTCTATTTTAATGTAAGAACATATTTTTCGTCAGTGATAGAAATTTGATTTAAGATGGTAGTGTAAGCAAGTTTAGTTTGAAAACGTTTAATAGTAAATAAGACACAATTAAACAATATTTGAATAAAATAATAATAATAATAATAATAAATATTACAGGATTTACTGCGAATTTTCAAAAGCGCGATAATCAAACACGGTTTTGATGATAATTACATTTTAAACGGTAATACTAACTGTCAGGGCATTTTATCGTGATTTATCGTGAAACCGGTAATCGTTCCATCCCTAGTAATGACTGAACAATATTTCCAATGTTTATGGACCACAGTGTCTGATCTCATATCAGTCCTGTACAGCTATAGGCCAGGAACAACAAAAGCTATTACAGCATCAATCCCAACACCATGTATGCTGCCAGTGTAACTTCTCACAGCGTCCTCACTTATTTACTTATTAACTCCTTTACTGTCAAAATGTACTGTACTATTTTTATTTTACTTTATATAAAATAAATAAAAAAAATAAAAAATAGGTTTTAATCCAAAATTGCTATAAAATTAAAGCCATATGTTTAAATAAGTTGTGTTCCAAATTTGAAGTTGATATAAAAAAAATTGAGCTTTCTATGCAATTTTGTTTAGGCGTTATACCACAAACAGACACCGGGTGCCATCCAAACGCCACCGAATTTTGTTGGATGTATTTTTCTGTCACAAATGTTTAAATCTCTCTCTCAATATTACTTCTATCACAAAATAACCAACAAATATGGAATCTTGAGACTCAGACCTTTCCAACGATATGTATTTTGTCAAGATTATAAAAAGTTTTGATTCTAAAAGACCGTAATACTTATTTACTTATTAACTCCTTTACTGTCAAAATGTACTGTACTATTTTTATTTTACTTTATATAAAATAAATAAAAAAAATAAAAAATAGGTTTTAATCCAAAATTGCTATAAAATTAAAGCCATATGTTTAAATAAGTTGTGTTCCAAATTTGAAGTTGATATAAAAAAAATTGAGCTTTCTATGCAATTTTGTTTAGGCGTTATACCACAAACAGACACCGGGTGCCATCCAAACGCCACCGAATTTTGTTGGATGTATTTTTCTGTCACAAATGTTTAAATCTCTCTCTCAATATTACTTCTATCACAAAATAACCAACAAATATGGAATCTTGAGACTCAGACCTTTCCAACGATATGTATTTTGTCAAGATTATAAAAAGTTTTGATTCTAAAAGACCGTAATACGTTTTGAAATATGACTCCTCCCACTAAGGGGGAGGAGACCGCTAAAAGATTTAAAGTACCATTTTCATGGTAATGCAATGTCCGATTTCAAAATGGTTTTCAAGGATGAATTTTAAGGTTTTAATCTTTCAAATTATATATATAATTTATGATGATTACTAAAACGTGATAGAGAAAAAGGCAACGAAATAAAGACTTTTTGTGACAAAGGTCAGAACTCCTGTTATGATGTATATGTTTGGAGGTGCACTCTTGTCATAAATTAATCTATTACTGTTCCTACATAATTTTTTAACAACGAACAGTGGTCAAATATCTATTTAGGAGTCTTAGACCTTTCCAACATACATAGTTTGTCATGATTAGATTAGGATTTAATTGTAATATATTAAAATAAACTTAGGCGTCCCACTGGCGAGACGGTGACATTTAAGGGGTTAAAAGGTTCTTCACAGCGATGCCATAGAAGAACCATTTTTGGTTCCACAAAGAACCATTCAGTCAAAGAACCATCTCTTTCTTACCTTTTTAATAATCTGAAGAACCTTCTTTCGCCACAAAGAAGCTTTTGTGAATCAGAAAGGTTCTTCAGATGTTAAAGGTTCTTTATGGAACCATTTAGACAAAAAAGGTTCTTCTATGGCATCGTGAAGCACCTTTATTTTTAAGAGTGTATAAATCAGTCATTTTCCTTACCAGTGAAACATTATACCAACAATTTAAATACCATCTTACATATTAATCAATTACCTTTATTTAAAGGGACTGTTCAGCCAAAACTTTAAATTTTGTCATCATTTACTCATCCTCATGCCGATCCAAATCTGTAGGAGTTTCTTTCTTCTGACTTCCAAAGTAATTTTTCCATACTATGGGAGCTACCAGCAACTGTTTTGGTTACCAACATTCCTCAAAATATCTTCTTTTGTGTTCAACAGACGAAAAAAAACTCCTGAGGATGAGTAAATGATGAAAATGTTCATTTTTGGGTGAACTATCCCTTTAATGAACACGTGACTAGCATTACACACTCTAAAATAAAGTTACCTAAAATAATCTAATTATCGATTAATCTTGACAAAATCTAAATCAAAAAATAACAATGGTAAACCATCATGAAAATGTCACAATAATAAAGCAGTGCGTTTCTTCGTGATATACCCTGATAATCACTGCTGCAGCCTAGAAATCAAACAAAGATGCTTACGTATGGACGGGTCTGACATGATCACCATGACGTAGGTGTTGGACGTGAACACGTCGATGAAGGCAGCGAAGTTAGAGTTGCGCACTTCCATGCTCTGGAAAGAGGCGGCCAGTTTACTGTGGGACAGAGAGAAAGGTCAGAATTACCCATGATGCTGTTCAGCGCCGAACACCGCATGAATGGAGTGCGACTGACCTGCAGCTCAGCTTGAACTGCTTGATGATGTTACTGATCTTCTCGAAGCGATGAGCATCTCGCTGCTCCTTACACTGATAATGAGAGATCACCTGACAAGACACGAGAGGCAGGTCGAATCATGTCAGCGATCGCTCAAACCTATCTGAGACGCACGCATTCCAGACGAAACTGGACATGTGTGAATGCATCTGGTTGTTGAAACCGAAACGTGCTTCATATGTGTCCCTGGAGCACAAAAGCAGTCTTAAGTCGCTGGGGTATATTTGTAGCAATAGCCAACAATACATTGTATGGGTCAAAATTATACATTTTTCTTTTATGCCAAAAATCATTAGGATATTAAGTAAAGATCATGTTCCATGAAGATATTTAGTAAATTTCCTACCGTAAATATATCAAAACTTAATTTTTGTTTAGTAATATGCATTGCTAAGAACTTCATTTGAACAACTTTAAAGATGATTTTCTCAATATTTAGATTTTTTTGCACCCTCAGATTCCAGATTTTCAAATAGTTGTATCTCAGCCAAATATTGTCCTATCATAAACCATACATCAATGGAAAGATTATTTATTCAACTTATGTATGCATAATGTATAAATCTCAGTTTCAAAAAAATTGACCCTTATGACTGGTTTTGTGGTCCAGGGTCACAAATGAGGTTTCCTTTGCAAGAAATGGCTATTAATTTTGCTATACTATATTGAAATATCTTTTCTTTTGAAAACAGTCATAAAACCTAACTTACAAGCTTTGGAACAAGTGTTTGTGTGCATGGTGCACACATAGAATGCAATTTTGTTTTTGTCATAAATTGCAGTCAAATACATTTAAAACTGAACAAAAAACAAATGGCAAAATAATCACAACATGAGGTCATGACCAAACTGTGCAGCGCTAATCTGCCGTCACATGTGTGTAAGCATGGTGTTTCAGTTTGGTACGAACCAGGAAAGTAGCTCTTTCAAAAAGCAAGACTTCGTCTGCCTCAATGATCTGAGCGAAGTTGCGCAGGTTGCACTCAAGCTGCTGTACGTTAGGAATGAGCTGATAGACGATGCTGGACCAGGCCTGCAGACACAAACACACACACACACGATACTTAAGTCACTCTTCTGACTGTCTGTTAAACCGAGCGGTGCAGAGAAATCAACATGGTCTCACTTTATACAGCGTCTCGTCCCAAATAGACGTTCTGAAGCAGGTGCAGGCCAGCGGGCGAGACAGTCTTTTCAGATCGTCCTCACGCTCTTTAAATATCTAAATCACAAACCAATAATTCATATTGATTAAGTGTTAATTGTTAATGGCAGTTTCACTGATGACAGGCTTTTACAAACTCATTTCTGTAATTCTGAATTTTAAGGTGGAACATAATTTTCTTACAAAAGAAAACAGCATAATGGTCCTAAAAAGGGTTAATAAATACACTAGCAGTCAAAGGTTTTTGAACGGTTTTTGTTTACTCTTTTTTAAAGAAGTCTCTTATGTTCACCAAGCCTGCATTTATTTGATCCAAAATACAGCAAAAGCAGTAATATTGTGAAATATTTTACTATTTAAAATTTAATTTAACTATTTAATTTCTATTTGAATATATTTTAAAATGTAATTTATTTCTGTGATCAAAGCTGAATTTTCAGAATTTTCAGTCTAATATAATGATTTGCTGCTCAAAAAACATTTAGTATTAGTCTTAGTAATATTTAAAACAGTTGAGTACATGCTTTTCAGGTTTCTTTGATGAATAGAAAGATCCAAAGAACAGCATTTATCTGAAATAAAAAGCTTTTGTAACATTATACACTCTAGCATTCAAAAGCTTGGAGTCAGTATAATTTTTTTGAGAAAGAAATTATAGAAATTAATACTTTTATTTAGCAAGGATGCTTTAAATTGATCAAGAGTGAGAGTAAAGACATTTATAATGTTACAGAAGATTTCTATTTCAGATAAATGCTGTTCTTCTGATATTTCTATTCATCAAAGAATCCTGAAAAAAGTATACTCCGCTGTTTTCATCATAATAATAATAATAAATGTTTGTTGAGCAGCAAATCAGCATATTAGAATGATTTCTGAAGATCATGTGATACATTACAGTTTGAAATATATTAAAATAGAAAGCAGTTATTTTAAACAGTAAAAATATTTCTAAATTGTACTGTTTTTGCTGTATTTTGGATCAAATAAATGCAGGCTCGGTGAGCAGAAGAGACTTCTTTAAGAAACATTAAAAAAACGATGTTTTCTTGTTTTATGGGTTTTCAGGATTAAGCTGATTTGGGCATGTTGTGAGCTTCCACACAAGCAGAGCTCAGTCGAGGACATTCCCGGCGGGCGCGTCTCACCAGGTCTCTCTGGTCCTCCTGCACCAGGTCCATCTTGTGCACCAGGCAGAAGATCTTGGCGTCAGGAGAGTTCTGCAGGATGGCTTCCAGACACGACTGGTAGTAATGCATATCCTTCTCCAGCTCGCGGCTCTCCACATCAAACACGTAGATCAGCACCTCCACATTGCGAAAGATGTTGTCCCTCTGACTCGTGAAGTAGTTCTCCATGAACGTGTCCTGTCTGTGCGATTCACATTTAAAGATGAGAAAAGAAAAGTGTCTTCCCAGAAGCCACCTATCGAGACACATTCCCACAGGACACACTCACCCGCCGCAGTCCCACAGGTTCAGCACCAGATTGCCCAGAAACCTCACGTGAGAGTGCTCCACATCAACTGAAACGGGAGAAAATACCGCTGATTTCAACCTCTCATTAATATGAACTGTCTTTAATGTGTGTCATGGAAGATGATTTATGTAACACCTGCTCCTCTAATGAAAATTATACAAAAATGAGGCAATTGTAACAGGAGGAAAATTATTTATATCTTATGAAAGTATAAAGCACATGTAAAAAATTGAAGTACCCCAAATAGTGATTTAAGCCATTAAAGGGTTAGTTCACCCAAAAATGATAATTAGGCTGTGTTTTACTCACCCCCGAGGCATCCTAGGTGTATAGACGAATCCTCTTTCAGACGAATCCAGTCTGAGTTATATAAAAAAATTGTCTTCGATCTTTCAAGCTCTATCGTTGCATGCATCAGTCCAAAAGAAGTTAAATAAAAAGCGACCATCCATAAAAAAAAGTGTCTCACACGGCTCTGGGGGGAGAACAAAGGCCTTCTGTAGCGGATCGATGCGTTTTTGTAAGAAAAATATACATATTTAAAACGTAATAATAATAATAATAATAACGTAGTAATCACTTTAATGTAGCTTGCGCCAGCAGTTGTACACAGAAGCAGCTCCGGGCGGATGACGTATGAGGTCAGCGCTGCGCATGCGCCGGTGAGTCTCGTGAAAACCTACGTTTGTTAACAGGAGCAAAGGAAGCAAAGTTTCAACTCATACGTCATACGCCCGGAACTGCTTCGGAGTACAACAGTGAGTGCAAGCTAGATTAAAGTGATTATTACGTTTTAAATATGTATATTTTTCTTACAAAAACGCATTGATTCGCTACAGGAGGCCTTTGTTCACCCCCCCGGAGCCGTGTGAGACACTTTTTTTATGGATGGGCGATTTTTATTTAAGTTCTTTTGGACTTATGCATGCAACACCCGCTGACTGCCATTAAACAGCTTGAAAAATCAAAGACAATTTTTAATATAACTCTGACTGGATAGGCCTGTCACGATAACAACTTTTTGTTGTGCGGTATATTGCCCCAGAAATAACTGCGATAAGCAATATTATTGTCATTTTATAAACCATTTTATGCCACTGAATATACAATCATAATGTAACAGCATAATAATGCAAGAAGGCCCACACACTTCCAAATGACAACAAACTTTTCAAGAATTTTTAAGAATATTTAGATCATGGAAATTAAGTATTCTTTTATATTAAGTATTTAATATAAATTAATATAAACTTGTATTAAGTATGCACACTATTGCTGAAAAACACAATCACTACTCAGCAGTCAGATGTCCGTACGCACAAAGACACAGATCCCTAAACAAAACCATATCTGCAGATTAAACTTTTTTTGTAGAAGCATTTTTTAAATGTGAACTAGCACCTGATGACTACACCACGTTATGTACGAGAAGCTGCAAAAGACACAGGCGCAAGTGGAATGTAAAAAACACGGTGACATTAATTTTTAAGTAAATATAATGGGCGATATATTGCGTCACCAAATTATTGAGGTCATGTACATATATTGCGCGATAAGTCGATATATTGATTATTGCGACAGGCCTACGACTGGATTCGTCTGAAAGAAGAAAGTCATATACACCTAGGATGCCTCGGGGGTGAGTAAAACACAGCCTAATTTTCATTTTTGGGTGAACTAACCCTTTAAAAACAACAGAACAATCAAGTAAAATGCAAATGCAGAAAACTGTCCTAAAAATAGGATTCATTTTCTTTGAGCAAAAAAGCCTATCAGCATATGACCGGAACATTTTTGGGAGACCTTGCCCTCCTCCTCCGCTCTCAAATCTCATTTGTACTTAGTTGAATTCAGAAATGAAGCTCTGATTAAAAGAGTCTGGTTTCACTGGGAAGCCTGGTGTCGTGTGTCTTGAGGTGTCATGCAGGTTTGGAATGAAACGACAGGATTTGTGTTTTTAGGTGCACTATTTCTTAAACAAATGTCATACTTGTGGCTCCCAGGCGGCGAGTGTCTCTGGCGATGTAGTTGGCAAATATGATCGACCTCATACTGGTCTTTCCTGATCCACTTTTCCCCATCAACAGCACCTGCGAAGAGAGCAGAGGGTCATTCTGCACCATCTTCTTCATGAGGGGAGAGGAAATCTAAGCAAAGTGTGTGTGTGTGTGTGAGTGAGAGAGTGTGTGAGTTTGAGAGAGTGTGTGTGTGTGTGTTTGAGTGTGTGTGTGTGTGTGTGTGCGCGTGATTGCGCGTGC